ATAATAATATGATATAGCATTCGTATAGCGCAAATCCCCGCTCAATAGCAAGCTCTATACGCTTTACATTCTATACTATTACCCGTGCAGACCAGAGAGTCTTCTGAAACAAACTCAACCTCCTGTGTTAAACATACAGTGCAAGCAGCCATTTATAGGCGCTGAAACACTAACGTACTGACAAGATCTTTCGCTGTCTGTTGCTGGGTTCCCTTTCCCACCTGGGTGAAGTGAGGAAATTTGTGTAAAGTGACTTTCTCAAGGACGCAACGCCAGGCCCGTGGCTTGAACCCTTGATCCCACAACCTCACGATTACGAGTCCAGTAGCCTAACCACTAGGACGATGACGCCACAGTAATGATCATCATCATCATCATCATCATCATCATCATCATCATCATCATCATCATCATCATCATGCTATTGATAATAATAAGGGGTAATGGCAATAGCAATGGACTAAAGTTTCCTCCCAGGATTCAGCAGACCTGTCAAGTTGTCTTGCTTTCCCAGGAAAAACAAATGAGGTATTGTTTTTGGTATAGTACACGCAGGGGGGCTCTCGTGGCCTAGAGGTAAGGGTGTTCGCCTCTCATTCAAAAGTCCCAGGTTCGAATCCGGGTAGTGGCGTAAACAGTTTCTTCTCTACAATTGTCTCCTTTCATCTCCTCCCCTGCTCTCTAGCAATGTTCTGTGGTCTGCTTTCGTCTCCACTTTCTGCCCACACCCTCTCACCTCCTTTGCACCATCCTCTGGGATCCGGACTCTTTCTATAGCCTTTCTACTGCTACTCCTTTGCTCATTTTTTCTTCTGTCTTTTAGCCACACCCTTGATCTTCTGGTAGGAAAGATTTACACCTAGACTTTTCGGACTAGGGCGAAAAATCTCGGAGGTCCCATGTGCAAGTTGCACATCTTAAAGATCCTTCGTGGTCTAAAATCGATAAGAGTAGGCTTCGGCCGCCACCCGGGCAAAATTCAAAATTTCCTACCAACCGAAAATGTTTCGTGTGTCCCGCGCATTCATATGACCTTATGCAGTTGCAAGCGCCGTTAAACATTCTTAGAAAAATAGTACGCACACAAACACACAGAGAAACACGAACGTACGCACATACACCAACACACACAAATACAAACAAACAAACACACACACACACGCACCCACACACACACACACACACACACACATAGAAATACGACACGAACCACGACGACCGCATCAGCCACAGAGAGTACACTCAACACGTGAACGCCAGCACCCCCGCCCTGCTGCCTCTGAGCCTGGAGCTCTACAAGATCTATGACGTGGACAACGACCACCACTTGGACGAGCATGACTTCAACAACCTCTTCGCTCTCATCGATAGCGACTCCAACGGCCGTGTCGAGAGGTCTGAGTTTGTTCGGTGAGTCTGTTTCCTCGCAGGATGTTCAAGGAGTGCATAATTATCTGTAAGGCATCGCGATGAAATCAGGTGCTCGTCAAAATAAGGTACTTGTAGAAACTGGCACCCCCCCCCCCTCCCACGATTTGGCGATTTTGCAGAATTCTTTTTTTTATTAATTAATTTTATTTATTTATTTATTTATTTATTTATTTTAATTTTAGTTTGTATTTTGTTGTTGTTGTTTTTTTCCTTTTTTTGGGGGGGGGGGGTTTGGGGGTTTGTTTGTTTTTTGTTTTTTGGTTTTTGTTGTTGTTTTTTTAGGGGTTTATTTTGGGGGGGGGGCGGCTCATAATCGATAAGATCCATTTTTAAACAAATATCTGCGTGGATTTTTCTGGAAAAAAAAACGTTGATTAAAGGTAAACTAAATGTGAAATGTTACTTTCCAAGCGCCCTTAAGCAGTGGAAGTCACAAAACTTGTTCTCGGTGAACCTGCTCTGTAACCAGACGAACCCCATCTCCTTCAATCTCAAATATTTCGACTTGTGTTCAAGATCGATGGGTATTTTTAAATTTTAAAGCTAGACAGATTAACAAGCTTTATAAAACATAATACCAATAACTTTACAAGCCCTCAAAAATTTTCAGGCGCCGCATTCCACCGTGCCGTGATACATTTATTTGTCGAGGTTGAATCTTTAATTGTTGATATTCTGAAGCATCCACCCTAAATTTCCCTGGATCAATAAAATAGATCTTATCTTATGTTGTTGTTAGCGATCCAGTAGCATCTGAGCGTTAACTCTTCTGCATGATGCCATTCGGTAATAGTTGCATGTTTGTTCTAATTGTTGTCTTGAGGAGTAGAGGCAATTAGATGTGTGGGGTAGCTTGGGAAGAAAACATCCCCTTAAATCAGTTAGTTTTCTACAGAAAAACAGATGATGTTCCACTGTCTCTGAGGGGTAGTCACATAGTGGGCAGGCAGCAGACTGCTTTACTCCTATTCGGTTGAGAGTTGAGATGTTGGTTGAAGGGTACATGTTGTGTTCTAAGTTGGAAGATTATGGATTGATCTCCCCTCCTCAACTCATTGATTGGATCTGTGACCAGTGGTTTATTCATGTGGCCATACATCCTCCTTCCTGTCGTACTTGTGGCCCAATCATTCATCCACTCTTCCTTGAGGTTTGACTTGATCTTATCTTATCTTATCTAACTTATCTTATTTTATCTTATATTATTACAGAACTAGAAGCTCTCAAATAAATTAGTGAAATTCAGACTACAACCGAGGCTCTGTTCTCCATTTCTTTAAATACATTATCCTTGAGTCATTTTAATTACTACAGCGCTGTTTTCTGATTGGTTGTTTTCGTCAACCTGAGCACCAATGATTAGGGGCAGTGCAGACGTCTAACTATCCACGTATTACTCGTACTTATTTTGTAGTTTTATTTTTGCATATTATACATTGTTGATTTCCTACTGCTGTTGTCAGTGATTGGTGGGTGCTCTGGTGAGGTTTGCTCATTCTTTCCTATCAAACATTTATCGTCCTTGTCTCCCCTTCTCATCTTTTTTTTTGCGTTTGTTACTTCTCTAATTTTTTACACTTATAATTATGACCTAATTGTGTTACAAGCGCCGTAAAACACTTACAAAAACAAAACATTTCCTACTGTCCGCAATCATAATGAATTGATTTCAACAAAATATCTTTTGCTTAATTAGCCTAATTATTATCAAAATAATACGATTTTTCATTCGAAGATTTATTTTCACTCTTGCAGATACTGGACCATCCTGCTCAAGAATCTGGAACACCTTCACTCTCACGACAACCACAACAACCACAACCACAACCACAACCACAACCACAACAACTAGGCTTGACTCGTGCATGGCTGAAGAAAAAAGCTGGGCTACGCTATAAGTTCAACGAAACCTTTACAGAAAATTAGTCTAGGAGCCTGAAAGTTGAAAGATTTATGGACCTCAGTTATTGTGTCAAGAATCACCCAAACCAATAAGAACTAGTACTGATTTTGGAAATATAGGAGTAATGTACAAACATAATACATGTATTCATTGTATAATTTTGAAAAACGGAGGTACTACCCACTAAGAAGAGCTAAGTAAACAGGTAATTCTTGGAAATAAAGGGAAATGTTTTAGTGGGAGAGGTCGTTTGTGTGTTGACTTTATTTTTGTTTTGTGTTTGTTTTCCTTTCAAATGCTTTAAAGGTTTTTTGTACAAACTAAAGCCGTTTGATGACGCTGTATGCTCCCGTTCTTGCGAACGGCGCTGGTTCCAATCCCACTCAGGACATTCTTGAGCTTGGTTTGTATGAAGTTGGTTGAGATATGGGCTCATAAAGAGCAACCAGACAACAGCGTTAACTACACAGTAATTAAAACTCTTATAAATACATTATTTAAACCACCACAAACACCAGATATCCACATTGAGCTGTCCCACTTAGAACGAGTGATTATCTTCAGACTAACAACTCAACACACAAGACTGAGACAACACATGTACAGATGTTTTAAACTAGTACATTTTCTCTTACATGGATAAGATCACGAAAGCAGCAAATGACAACATCACTGAACTGAACGAGCTTCTATTTACTGATGATTAGAGTATAATAGATACAGATGAAGAAGAATGACAAAATACACCTCAAAACTAAATGAGGAAGGTAAACATGTGAACATGAAAATCTCCATCTCAAAAACAAAAGTTATGAAGGTCAGCAGAAACCCCAGGAAACTCAACATTCTTATTGACGGAACACAGCTTCAACAAGTAGATGAATTTAAATATTTGGGAAACATCTTCACCCAAGATGGGCGTATGGACAAGGAAACAGAAACAAAAGCTATGAAGGCAAATGCAGTGACCTACGAGCTAGCATCCCTGCCCAGTCACAAGAACATCCCAACCGAAGTGAAATCCCAGCTCATCAACAGCATCTTCATACCAACATTAACATACCAGAGCAAAACATGATCTCTAAACAAGGCACAAGAAAGAAAAACCAATGCATGCGAAATGAGGTGTCTCCGCAAAAGCATCAACGTCACCAGAAGAGACCGCATAAGAAACGAAACCATACGTCTACAAACTGGAATACACCAGTAATAAAATTCATAGAGCGCCAAAGAGTCAAATGGTTTGGAAATCTAACCAGAATAACCCAGAAACAACTAGTTGCTAGAGCTTACAACACCCGAGAATCCGGCTTTAAATCAAAAGGAAGGCCAAGAAAGACCAGGCCGGATGAGGTTAAAACGGTCCTGAAACAACATAACATACTATTGTCTATCAAAGACGCTACACACCTAGCACAGGACCGAAACATGCACTTCCCCTCGACATCCTAAGGATACTAGAGGAAGGAAAAAGTAAAAGTAAAAAGCACAATCTCCAAAATGCCAGTGTGGAGAGGCGGACCAAAACTGGGGAACACATTGACGCTATTGGAACAAGAGAAGCTGTACGTCCCGACAGATGAACTGAGCAGGACGGCCCAATATATTATATTATGACAGATACCTGACTTCAAGTGTGATGAGATAGAGAAGAAGAAGAAGAAAGAAGTTGGTTGAGACTACCTTCAGCCGTTCCCTGATGACGAGCTCGCCAAGGACAGGAGCAGGAATTCCATATCCACAAAGAGAAAATTATTTGTTGCTGCACTATTAATACATACACTCACATGAAGACGTCAACGCAGAAAAGCAGGTCTAACTGTCCAGCAGTGGGAAGAAGATTTCATAAGCGGCGGTACAGGTTGCCCCGGATTTTGAAGGTTGGGTTGAAGCCTTTGTTCAGCTTGTACACTGCACCACCCTGAGCACTCAGAACCTACCATCCTGGAGAGAGAAGTGAGAGAAGCACTGAAAACTAGTCCAAAGAACAAGGCAGCTGGAGACGATGGCACCA